TCTCGATTGTGTCTCCATATTCACTCTTACAGTTGGTGATGCAGAGACCGTCTTATCTGTCGCTGAAGGATACGATATCCAAGACCCATATTCTCGAGTTCGACCTGACCCTGACATTGCCCCTTATAATGAGTTCGGAGGCTCAGCAGGTCTCACCAAGCCCACTCTCGCAATATGTGCCTCTCCAGACTGGTTTGGCAAAGACGACCATTATCCCGCGTACGAAAAGGCTCTCGCCAGAGCAAAAGCTTTAGGCTGGACACTCGTTCCAGTGGACTTCTCCCTTCTCTTTCGACTTGCGCGGCTCTTGTACAACGGCCCGTGGGTTGCCGAGCGGTACGAAGCCATCCGGGGCTTTATCGAGAGTGCCGCTGCTGAAGAAATGGATCCTGTCGTGCGAAAAATTATCATCAGAGCCCAGACCCTTTCAGCAGCAGATGTCTTTGAGGGTGAATACCTTCGTCAAGAACTTACTCGTCAAATTGAGCGGGAATTCTCCCAGTTCGATGGACTCTTCGTACCCACGTCTCCAACGTTCCCCACGCTTGATGAGCTCGTCAAGAATCCGGTCGAGGAGAACTCGAATTTGGGCACTTATACCAATTTTGTGAACTTTCTGGACTGGTCGGCACTTTCTATCCCTGCCGGCTTTCGGCCAGATGGACTTCCACTCGGCGTGACACTCATCTCGACTCGTTGGCAAGAGCCTTTTCTCCTGTCTTGGGCTCGTGAGTGGTTTGGTGTTGAAGAAAGGTTGCTGGGTGCGACTGGTGTGAGTGCTCGCGAGTCTCCCACTCCACCATCGTCGATCCCTTCGAATTATATACCCATTGCTGTGGTTGGTGCGCATCTCACTGGGTTCCCTCTCAACAAGGATGTAGTGACTCGTGGTGGAAGGTTCGTGAGTGCCACGAAGACATCATCGTCTTATCAGTTGTACTCCCTCAACACAACAGTCGGTCCCAAGAAACCAGGTCTGAAGAGAGTGCCCACCGGTGAAGGTGCAGAAATCCAAGTCGAAGTCTGGAACCTGCCCAAGACCTCCTTTGCGAGTTTCATGCTCACAATTCCTCCTCCTCTTGCAATCGGCTCGATCGAACTCAACGATGGGTCTTGGGTAAAGGGGTTCGTATGCGAGCCTTGTGGCTTCGATGAAGCTGTCGATATCACCAGTCACGGCGGCTGGCGAGCATATCACGCTTCTTTCGAGAATCAGATCAAATCGTTGGAAAACGGCATTCGTAAGCGTGCTATCTCGACAATTCTTGTAGCCAATCGTGGCGAAATCGCGGTTCGTATAATCGAGACGATACACAAAATGGGTCTTCGAGCTGTTTCCATCTACTCTGAGATAGACGCAGATGCCGCACATGTTAGCAAAGCTGATCTTGCTTTCAAGCTTGAAGGCTCCTCCGTATCTGAGACTTATCTGGATATGGAGCAGATACTGAAGCTGGCTGCTCAATCCTCAGCTGATGCCATCATCCCTGGCTACGGCTTCCTCTCTGAGAATGCCGAGTTTGCCATCGCCGTCGAAGAGAAGGGCATGATATGGATTGGACCAACTCCGAAGCAAATGGCTGATCTCGGGTTGAAACATCGCGCCCGCGCTATTGCAGTCGAAGCAGGCGTCCCCACTGTCCCTGGATGTGATGCCCTTCTCACATCGCTGGAAGAAGCTCTCAAAGAAGGCGAGCAAATCGGCTTCCCCTTGATGCTAAAGAGTACTGCTGGTGGCGGCGGTATCGGCCTGAGCTACTGCAAAGACAGACAGAGCTTAGCCACAACGTTCGAGAGCGTTCAACGGCAAGCGGAGGCTAATTTCGGCAACGGGGGTGTTTTCATAGAACGGTTTATCCAACGGGCTCGCCACGTTGAAGTCCAGATTCTCGGAGACGGGACAGGTCGTGTTATTGCTGCTGGCGAACGGGACTGCTCTTTGCAACGGCGTCATCAGAAAGTTGTAGAAGAAAGCCCCGCGATTCTAGTCCCTGAGTCAGTTCGGGAGGAAATGAGAGCGGCTGCAATTCGCCTCGCGTCATCAGTCGAGTATCGCAATGTCGGCACTGTCGAGTTCATCTATGATATCGATTCGAAGGAGTTCTATTTCCTGGAAGTGAACACTCGGTTGCAAGTTGAGCATCCTGTGACTGAGTCAGTAACTGGTCTTGATCTTGTGGAGTGTATGATCAACATTGCCGATGGGAGTGCAGCTCCCCTGTTTGATACACGGCTCCAGGTGTCTGGTGCTTCCATCGAGGTCCGTGTATATGCCGAGAGCCCCCTTCAATCTTTCCGCCCCTGTGCTGGTCGTACCACGGCTCTGGAGTTCCCTTCCTCTCTTCGTGTCGATACTTGGATCCAACTTGGCACCGAGATCACGACATCTTTCGATCCTCTGGTAGCTAAGCTCATCGCTTCGGGGTCAAATCGCGAAGAGGCTATCGAGAACTTAGCGAAAGGTCTTGCAGCCACTCGCATTGAAGGAGTACAAACCAATCTCGAGTATCTCCGCCAGATTGTAGCGTCTCCCATGTTCAAGTCTGGCGAGTATACGACGAAATCTTTGGACTCCTTCCAGGTTCACTCTTCCTCTTTTGAAGTCCTTCAGCCTGGGGCCTTGACCACGGTTCAAGACTACCCAGGCCGCACTGGATACTGGAACATCGGTATCCCACCCGGAGGTCCAATGGATTCTTACTCCTTTCGACTGGCGAATCGTCTTGTGTGCAACCCCTCAGACGCTGCTGGGCTCGAATGTACTCTGGGAGGCCTGTCTTTGAAGTTCCATTGTGATGCTGTGATTGCCGCCGTAGGTGGTGTTGCACAACTTACGATCGACGAGGAGACCGTTCCCATGAACCAAGCCATTGGTGTCAAAGCAGGTCAGATACTGAGCATTGGAGGCGTTGAGCATGGACATCGTGTATATCTTGCTATTCGGGGAGGAATTGAGGTCCCAGTCGTGATGGGCAGTCGAGCGACTTTCGAACTTGGAAAGCTTGGAGGCTTCGGCGGTCGTAAGCTCCAAGCGCGTGATATTCTCGCCATCGGTCTTGCAGATCTCTTGGTCAGTGAAGGTCAGGCTATATCACCAGTACCTGTGCCAACTCACCCCAAGGCCACATGGACTGTTAGAGTCATCCCCGGCCCTCACGGCGCTCCAGACTACTTCACCCCTGAAAGCGTCAAGTTGCTATACCTCAGCGACTGGAAGGTTCATCACAACAGTAACCGCCTTGGTGTTCGTCTCACTGGACCCCAGCCCGAATGGTCTCGCAGAAGCGGTGGCGAAGCAGGGCTACATCCGTCCAATATCCATGACGCTCCTTACTCGATCGGTAGTGTGAGTTTCACTGGAGATGAAGCTGTCGTTCTGGGGTGTGATGGTCCAAGTCTCGGTGGATTCGTGGTACTATGTGTAGTATGCTCTGCGGATCTGTGGAAGATGGGACAGGTTCGGCCTGGAGATACGATTCGTTTGGACCCTATTGATGTTGCAATTGCGATTGGGTTAGAGAAGAAGCTTGATGAAGCCATTGAGACACTCTCACCTCTCGAGGCCTTGGAATGCGTTCCATCTGATGAAGTGGCTCTGGCACAGAAGTTGAGAAGCATTCCCGCCGTCGTGGGTGCTCTCGATCATGACGCTCAAAGGATTACTATTCGTCAAGCCGGTGGCCGAGCCTTTCTGCTCGAATTCGGTGATGCCTCCGCTTTCAACCTCCGCCATAACTTCGAGATATCAGCATTCTGTGATAACCATGAGAAGAGCCCCATCCCCGGCGTTGAAGAACTCACCCCTGGCGTCTTCAGCCTCCACGTCACCTACACTCACGGTCTATCCCCAGAACTGATGCTGTCACGCTTGGCAGATCACATCCGCTCGTACAAAGTCCCCACACAAGTCCCTTCAAGAAGCGTCCGTCTCCCCATAGCATTCGACGATAGTGTCAGCCGCGCCGCCATCGAACGATACACAGCAACTATCCGCCCCAACGCACCATGGCTCCCCAGTAACATCAACTTTCTCCAAAAGCTCAACGGTATCTCTGATCTGACCAAAGTTTTGGGCGCCGCAGAATTCGTAGTCCTTGGTCTCGGCGATGTGTTCATGGGCTCCCCGTGTGCAATCCCCTTGGATCCGCGGCACCGCTTGTTCGGAACAAAGTACAATCCTTCGCGCTCCTTCACGCCTCGTGGTGCTGTTGGTATCGGGGGGCAGTATATGTGTATCTATGCGACTGATTCGCCTGGCGGTTATCAACTTGTCGGAAGAACAGTTGAGATCTGGGATGCTGACCTTGTTGACACCGAGGCTTGGGTTTTTCGTCGCTTTGACAGGATTTCTTTCTACTCCGTCACTGAAGCGGCGCTGGATGGAACACCGAGGTCTGAGCTTGTTCAGATCAGTGATGGTGTTCTTGATCTTGAACAGTACGAGGCATGGCTTACGATGAACAAAGAAGACATCGCCACTGCCGCAGATGAACAAGCAAGAGCCATTTCCAACGCGCCCTTTGTTAACGAATTACTTCTTCCGTATCAAGTCGAATCTGTTATCAATGGACACAGCCCGAGTCTGGATAGTTCGGGACTTCGTGGTGAACGAGTCAAGGCGACGATGCCAGGTCGGTGTTACAAGGTCATGGTGAAAGAAGGGAGTGTTGTACACAAGGGCGACGTTCTGGTTTATATTGAGTCGAGTAAGATGGAAGTTGAGATTCGCAGTCCTGTTGCCGGAAAATGCTTGGTTGTTTTGGTGCAGGTGGGAGATTTGATTGACGTGGAGGATGACGTGGTAGTTATTGAGTGAGCAAAAGTCGTGTTTCAGTGGAACTGCAGCGAGATGAGGCACAAACAGATATTCCACAGCCACTAATTCACGAAGATGAGCGGAAAGTATTCGATGGCGCTGTGTACGAGAGGTAAGGGCCCTGAATTGAGGACCTCTATCATAGCTTCACTGCAAATTTACAAAGCCTTCAGACTAGCATTTACTAAGTGCACAAGTTTATGAGTATCAAGATAGAAGTCAAGATGGGTTTCAAGTGTTTGATTGAGCTGTGTATGGTGTCCAAGTATCCTGTCCAAGTCCAAGTCCAAGCGAATCCTCCCAGGCGTCCCCATGATTGTGAGAGAGAGAGAGAGAGAGAGAGAGAGAGAGAGAGAGAGAAAGAGTGTGTGTGTGTGTGTGTGTCAAGTGTGCGTAGGCCATCTGCGTCCTGGTTGCGTTGGAGTCGCAGCTCGAACGAGTGTGCAAGTTCGACACTGTATGCATTGACGTGAACCCCGTTCACACCAAGACATACAGTGCAGATCTCGCACAATCGGACGAGCTGTGACTCCAACGCAACCAGGGCCCAGGCGGCATCACGTAGGTCTTCGAAGACGACGTACACGCGCTCTCCAGAGGTCTCCAGGTTCCGACCGCCGTAGAATCTCACCCCCTTTTGGGTGAGCTCCTATAAACTCGTCAGTACATTTTGCATTTCTCTAGGTGGCAAATGATACTTACGGTGATAAAATTACCGAGATCGACAATGGACGGTGTTGGAGTATCACCAACCTCGATGCGATGAGAGCCCACGAGGTCCATGAATCTTCTACAAAGGGTCAGAGTCGAGTTCCTGGTGTCGTGTCAAAAGAACATACCTTGCACACTCGTTCGAGACTGACAAGCCTGAGTGTCTCGTGCTTGCTGTCCTCCTTGGCATTCTTCGCCAACAGGCGGCGGACCTTAAACTTCGCTTTGAGCTTGCGAAGCTTGCGAAGCTTGAACTTGAGTTTCTCGAATTTGCCCATGGTGAATGAAGTGGTGGGTACAGAGTGGCAGCTGAGGACAATTGTGAGTCACCGCAAGGTGCGACAAAGGGAAGAGAACAGATGAGGAGAAGAAAGGCAAAGAAAGGTTGACGAGATGAAATGAAATAACCAGAGGAAAAGTGAAACTTACGGGGTCACCGAGCCACGAATGGCTCGGGGCACTCTCTGCTGAGGGAGCGAGTCCGCCGCCACTCATCAAGACAACTCAACATACCCAAGGCAACACTCTGCGCTGGACTTCATTGGATTGGCTCTTGGAGGTGAGTCCAATAACCAACCCCACAAAGCCGCGGGCAAAGTGCTGCATTGGGCACATTGAGTGTCAACGAACGGAGGCTTGGGGATCGAAATGCCGTCGTTTGTCCAGTTGATGAGGACTGATGATGTATATAGAAGAGAGAGGGTTGAGGAGTGAGGAGAGGGTAAAGATGTTGATGTTGAAGCTGAAGAGGAAAGGAAGAAGAAGAAGAGAGATGAAGAGGAGGGAGGATGGATTAAATACCAACAAGAGTGGATCCAGCTGATTCTGTGCGCGCAGAGCTCGAGTTGCTTGACAATAGCAGCGAGGCGAGGGCCAAAGCCCCGAGACCACAGTGAGAGTGCAGACCTTGATTCACTGGCAAGTGGGCTCCTCAGAGACGCAGAGATCTCGAGAGCCTCTCGAGCCAATCACATAATTTACACTGCCTTCGATTTAATTCCCTTCGTCCCTGTGGAGCCGTGCAGAGGGAATCTGCCTCGACGAGCTCGCCCAATGAAAGGGGGCAAGCTTGTGCCTTGGGACGGTTCCAAGCTGAACTTGGCCAATTTGGTCCCAAGGCCTTCAGAGCCGCACTCAGATAGGCCAAAACTTGTTGTGATTTGGACCAAAACGTGCCGAGTTTACGTAGAATGCTCGCCTCGCCAAACTTGGTTCTCCTGAAGAGGCCAAGCCACTCCGCGAGTGCTCAACCATCTCAAGTCCATGCATCTTGTAATTATTGTGCGATGTTTCCTGATGCATTTGAAAGCTTCGATGTGTGTTCTGTGTATTCATCACAATTCCACCTAATGTAATTCCATATTGTAGTTTCGTAGTCAATGCCATCCTCAATGCATGCATGTTACAATTACTCATTCGTTTTTGCATCACTGCTGTTGACACGGATTATCTCACAATTCAGTACCAGTGATTATCTCTTTAAGTCACTCACTCTGTTGCTGTGGTACAACTACCGCCCAATGACGCATCGCCGCTCCCCGTGGACGCGGATGAGGCTCAAAACGCACCCTCGAAAATACTCAGGGCAACCCCAACAACCATTGAAAATACCGTCAAAAATATCTCTCGGAAGCTAAAAAATGCCCCATATTCGCAAAAATGGTGCATCATTTTTCTTATTGTGCGTGGTCGCAAGATCACAGCCCAGTGTCCGGCCTCGTCGTTGATATAACGTCCAACCGCCCCACGCCACTACCCAACGGTCCCCTGAGGTGCTTCCCGCTTTTGGCGGAGCATTTCGCTGCACGTCACCAGCTGTCAGATCGCACGTCCCCAGTCTCCCGTCTGATCTACTGCTGGGATACTGCCGCCTCCCAGATCACTCGGCCCCTCACCGCCCGGAATCCTGTGTATATAAACCTGCCTTCCTCCCAGGCCAGACCTCTTTTCTTTTCTCTTCTTCTCATGCCAAACTCCAGTGGCTCTCAGGGATCAAGAAGCCTGAGGGCTGGGAATCATCGTGCCTTTTGGCAGTAGATGAGGACCACAAAGTCGCCTTCGGGCGGCCTGGAATAATTTTTGGTTTCGTCCTATGGGCAACCACCCTTTTTTCATTGGGTTCTCGGCCTTGAGCTGGGACTCGAAGAAGAAAACATGCTTGACTGTGACTATGATGTTCTTGTTGTTGTTGTTTAACTTTGTAGTCTGTCTTGGTGATATGCTGTGATGTCCGCGTAGAGGGGAGCATTGCGTGCGTAGTGTGACTGTACTATACGATAGAGGCGGACGCTGCACTCGTGGGAGGTGTGAGATGTATCGCAAGATGTTGTTTTGGCGGTTGGGCTCGACGTCTCGCGCAGTTGCTCCAGGGACGCTGATACGCCTCTCCAGATGATCATGTCACTCGTGAATATCTTTGCATTGACGACAGAATGCTTCTTCACATTGTCAAGCCCTTTGCGTCGCTGTTTCTCGTGGATGTATCCGTGGTTTTCTTGGTGGCTCGCCAGCATCTCGTCTCGCCAGTGAACATCGTAGCAAACCCACAGTCATGGTAGACTCAGGACGGAATGAGACGGGACTCTTTGAATGAGGATGATATTACGTATATACGACGATATTTGAGGTCCTCATCGCTGTTATTCCTCTTGTGTTTTGCTTGATGGCTCGCTCGCATCGTGGTTCGCCCGTGGCATCGTAGCAAAACCACCGCAGGGATGGCGCAGGATGAGATACAAGATATTTACTACATAGACGACGATCTTATGGATATTGCACGCTACATGAGGACTAAATCATCTTGCTTGGCCTTTTGTTGTGCTTGGGGATCGTGTTGAGGTTATCACTCAGATGCGAGATCGTTGCGGCTCGACAGTCACATCGGTGCCAAACCACCACACAGCCAGTACAAGTTTGAATACGAAGAACACATCATATCGATGACTATTTCATGAGCATTACGTGCTATTTGAGACCAAAATCGTCTTGCTTCATCCAGTGTCGGGCCTGGGAACCGTATCGAAGGATGCACTCGAGTGCAGGATCGTCGTAGCTCGTCCGTGGTATCGAAAAACGCAATATATTCGCAGTCGAATCGCTTCGTCAAGTCGTAAATACTCTCTGCCCACTCTCTTCGCACTTCGAGGCCTTCTGTACCGGAGGTTCTGTGCCGCTGTCTCTCGCACTGGCCCTTCAGAGGGCACCCGCCTTCGCGCTCCCGCTCCTCCCACTACCTTAAGGCAACATTCCCACTTCTTCCCCTCCTGCTCTTTTCTACTTCCCACACAACCACCGCACAGTAATTTCACGTTGTTAATTTTTGTGTTCCGACTGAACTTTCTCTACCGCTGTAAGCATTTGCACATTTGTTCTGGTATGTGCTTTTTATGTTCTTCTTCTGCTTCCCCTGAACACACACTGAACAGTGAAAACTGACCTCGTCGTTGCTGCTCAGCTCTTCCAAGTTCTCCCCACTACATTCTGCACTTCAAACACTGCTTCTTCGTCTACCGCAAGACGCTCTTCAAGTCTTCGTTCATTCCAAGAACTGCCCAGCATGGTCATTGTCATTGACATTCCCCTTCCCGGCGGCCGCGGTATCCGCTTCAACATCCAGGAGTGGATTGTCATCCTTATCTTCATCCTGATCTTCCGAGCCTGGGGATGGCCCATGGTCGTCCGTCGCTGGCCCCTGGCTTTCGCCTGGCCCTGGCGCGAGGACGATTATGTCTTTTAAGCGCCATTCACCACTACCCAAGTCGGTATCTCGAGTACGATCTCTACGAGCCATTTTTGAAATGTTTACGGTAAGTCCCCTCGAAGCTTGGAGTATGTCGTCTCAAGTCATTGCCATTTACTAACCCCCTCCAGGATCTGAATCACAGGACATGTCACCTGTAACCAAAAAAAGGATGTTATTATCATGACCATCATCGGCGGCGGATTTATGGAACCGGACTGGTGGATTATTAGGCTCTAGCAATGAATCTAATCTCGCTCTAAATCTTTTAATGTGGTCGTGATCGTGTTTCTTCCGTGCCGCTTCTGCCCAAGTCTATCCATCTGCCACTCAGCAATGCTTCCACCTTCCCGCTCTTCCAAGTCTTCTAGTTGACAATGCTGATGTTTATCTTGCTCTAGATTCTACCAGTTCCTCCAAAAGCTCCGAAGCTCGTTCCGCGCCGCCTAGTTCATTGAGTTCATCTCCCAGGTGCCCCGCCCTCTCCACGAAACCTGGATCATCCAGTATCGTCTTCGCCGCACTTCGAACCTGCTCTCTTGAAGGGCTATCCGTCTTCAAGTCGATGCCCGCTCTTGCCCAACTGACCCGCGCTGCTGTGTCCTTCTTATCTTCTGTTTGCCCAGCGCAGATCAGTGGCACCTTATGTGACAGTGCCTGCGTTATGCTTCCGTACCCGCCATTGGTGATGAGGAGGCATAGCTGTGGGAGGAAGAGATGGTAGGGTATCCATCTGATGAAGCGCACGTTTAGCGGCTCCCCTATTCTTGAAGTGATCTCTTCTACATGTGGCGAAGCTACTACGAGAAGCAGATCTAGATCATCAGAGAGCGCCTTAATCGCAGGTATGATCAACGATGTTGGATCCATGGCTAGAGTACCTTGGGTGATACCAACGACACGAGGATGCGCAACGATCTCGTCCCACTCAGGGGGGAGCTGGGCAAGACTGGTCGGTACCTGTGTAACTACCGGTCCAACGAACTTGGTATGCTCCCGCTGTTGCGGCGGCTTCGGCAGTAGCTTGAACTCCAGCGACGGCGACGACGCCTGAATGTGAAGATAGGGGCTGTAAGTGTAAGACTCGATCGGCTCCCCATACGGCAAGTTCTTCAAGCCCAATTCCCTCCTCTGGGCATTTATGATCGGCCTCAAGAGCAACGGCAGAAGAATCCACTGGCTAACAAGATGAAGAATATGATTCCAGATCAATCCAACCCACGACGTCGCCGGACCCTCCCCCGAAACAGCTTGTGGCGCTCCCAAACTCGACATGTACATCGGAATCACCCCCAACGTCGCATAAACCGGAATTTCACCAAGTTCACACAAAGCCCTCGCTCCATACGGCATCACATCGACGAGCAAAACATCTGCTTTAAAGTCCCTCAACACCCGGCGGTAATCCGTCACCTGCGCAAGAAGCCTGATCTGAAGCCGCGAGTACTCCTTGTCGAGAATACCAGTTTCATTAGAGGCGATAAGGGGCTCGTCGATGATGGCTATGGCGCTTGTTGGGACAAATGTTGCGCCTACGGCGAGGACGCGGGCTTCGTTTGAGGCGCTGGTGAGCCATGTTACTTGGTGGCCGCGGCGGATGAGGGATTGGGCTACGGCTTGCATTGGGTAAGCATGGCCGGCTGGGAAGTGAGAGTGGAGGAGGATCTTCATGGTGCGTTTGTGAGGGCGATTATGTGGTGAAGGTGAGGGTAAGGGTGAGGTGAGGTGAGGTGTTCTTTATGTGAGGTTGCATGGATGATCTAAGTGGGCTGCATATAAAATCTGCACACTACTGTGTACAAGCAGATTGGGGGCTTGGCGTCGCTGGGAGACGATGAGAGCAATGGCAGAAATTGAATACTGCACTTATACTGCCTTAACCGTATACTCCATGCATCATAGCTAAAGTGAGAGCGAGGTGTCATGACCATGGTCAAGCTTATGTCTCATCGGCTGGTGTCGATCCCTGTGTCCGAGTTCCAACGTCGACCGCTTCCATGTGAGGGGTCAATTCATAAATGGTAGATTGACCAGTTCCATTCACCCGATTCCATTATTTCGAGAGGTCATCCTCTATTTCAGTTGTCCTAGGCATAAAATAGTTACATGTCTTGGTTCTACCTTTGTAATTTTCTCAGTTCTGTATTTATGTGCGACGTTGTTCAGATACAGATGCGAGGTTCAAGGTTCCGAGTGGAAGAGGGCTACCCTGCACCGTTTGCGAATTGTTCTTATTGAATTATACAGAGCCCTTGGAGGACATTCTGTAGAAGCGTAATGCAACTTCCTACTTGGTTTTTACAGCGTAAATCTCATTTTGGTACTGTAGCGGTTGTTAGAATCTGGAATATCCCCGTTATTTAGGGTCGTGGCTCAAAGACCCTCAGTTGTACAGGTGAGCATTCGTTAGGATCAATTTTGTGTTCACCATCACAGGCCAACTCCCACAACAATCAACATGAACAACGAAAGTCAACGAATTCTCCCATACTGCGTCTCATATGAGATTTGGACTCTTGTGATCTACTCCTCGCTCTTTTGTTCGTCATCCCAGCACCAGTAGCCCGCTCCGCTATCCTCCTCACCCTCAGCTGCTCGTGTTTTCCAGTATACGGCTTTGCAGTCCAATCTTGAATGCTGAGCGCTGTTTCAAACTTTTACTTCAGTGGAATTCTAGTCACAGAGTACGTCTGCAATTTGATAGTCTTGAAGACAGAATTTCAAGTCCCGGTCGGGGGTTGGTACGCAGTGTGGCGCCTTGGTCACTGACTTGTTCTGAGGCGTGTCGAGGTACGAATTCCAAGACACCTGAAGACTTTGCGAGCTTCTTCGACTAACACTGACACTTTGGTAGGGATCAATGAGAACCCTTCGAAAAGAACATCAATCGTGACGCCGATGTCCCCGGAGACACAGAAAAGGCCACGGGACGCCAACGACCAGAGGTTAGCAGCCTGCGCTTGCGTAGCAGGCATAGACGCGGCCAAGAGGATCTAATCTCTACATTCGGTGGATTCAAGACTGCGAATCGATCACCATCGAGGGACCTACCATAGGATACTCAATACTGATTTGCTTCCCGTCGGAACTAGCAGCCCCTTTGATGCCCCCATCACCACGTGAAGAAACAAGCTACGACGGCGGCACCGTTGGGCCAACGCCCAAGACATTTTCTATCTTGGTAACTCAATTCTGGACGAAACATCTTCGCGAAAAACGACCCGTCCCGCTTGAGATACACTGCACGAGACCCTCGACCAATGCCCTGCAACCACAAGAGCGCCGCCTTCACCAGCCCGCAAGAGCTTTCCACGATTCTAGTCAGTGCGCCCATCTAGTGCTAGTATCTGAGTATCTTCTACAAGATGCAAGTATCGACTGCCTGTTGTCAACTCCTCCACTCAAACAGGAGCACAAAGCCTGGGTACTGAAGAGCGCAATGTCGAACATCCTACTGCAAGGTCCAACACGCCTCAACAAAGGTCAGGTCGCGGTGAGCTTCGTTTCACTGAGCATTTGGCACACATCCAACACTTGCAGCGCTACCACCCCCTGACTGCGAGTGTGTTCCTGAAGTGGTGGATTAGTGACGAACGTCCTTCAACCAGAAGGCAGCTGACTTGTTCGGTATGCGTCAGTCTTCTTAACCCACAGCTCACGAGTCCAATTTAGCCCGAAAGTATTTCCCGAAAAAGCTTTCATTCAACCTGAAATTAAGGACGAAGGCTCAGTTCAAGCTTGAAACGAACCTGAACGTCATAAGACTACTCGAGAGTCGATTTATCCTGATGTTGGTCCATAAACCTTTTGGTAGTTTCCTCAGTCTTCAACTAGCATTTACACGACTGGAACCAAACTTGGACCCATTGGTTCGGTCAGTAACTAATTGCAAGGGCCACGGAACTATGCCAGCAGATGTTGCGAATACGATCGGAGCCGGACTGAGACCGACACTACGGGGAAAGAGAATTAACCAAGCTTCTATGAGTACACAAAGACCATGTATTGCGATTTTTACTAATTACAAGTCGAATACAGGATGACTCGCTAACGTTAGTCTGCAAAAGTATCGACAGCAAGAACTGATTGTGCAACCCCATACTCAGAGCCCCTAGAGCCCCTTTTCTCAGCTTGGAACGAAGGCTTTCTGAGCTCTCACTCCACTGGCTCATATCGAGATAAAATTACGACTCTACCAGCGCAAATGCCGACCAGAGGCAACATAGCTAGCATCGAAAGAGCTACTTCACAGCCTGTAGGTCCGGCTCAAGGATCGGGTATTGTAAGTCAGGATGAGCCATGGACAACGTTAGCAAACCCAGAAAAGTTGGTACACTTCGTCGGCAGGCATTTTGTAGCAAAGCTAGAAAATTCTGACGCCGTTAAAGGTATCTCAATCGTCAGGTCGTGCCGCGTAACTGCCACTGGATCCAAGACCCTTATGCCGACAAGCAGACATTTTCTACACGCCTGTCGAAGCTTTAGGGACTCCCTTCTACCCACACAAGGTCGCTCTGTTCCAGTAAGCTGAACTCGTTCAGCTATGTACGGGGTGGGGCCAAGCTTCATACGTCCAATATCAATGGAGCACTTCAAAGGGGAGACCAAGTGTCATCCCCGACTAAGCTGCCCCCCGGTCTTATTTTGGCCTTGTCTTGTTCTGTAATGCTCGGACATGGTTGGTACTCAGCTACGAACTAATGAAAGCGCCCTGCATCGCAAATTATACACTTATGAGATCGAGTCTTTGAAGGTGTCAACGCCTCAGCGCGCATATCCAATGTTCAAGTCCAATGAAGGCCTCGGGTTGTTGCCCTCGTCAATATCGTTCCTACTAACCACAAGCTTGAATTTTCACAAGAGGACCTCGCTCAAATGTATTGATCGTCCAGCTTTGGTAAGTCCAGCCCCTCTTATCACGATGTCATGTATGTAGACGATGCTGACAGAAAGATAGCTATGGAATCAAAGCTACTGCAACGACCAAGCTGTGGCCTCTTTCCCCCGGTACAACAGAGCAACAATTGCTACAGCCACTTAGGCCCAGCATGTAATGACATCAGCTCACCCTTCGGCTGCCTTCGATTAGTCCCCTTTTTTGGCAGAAGAAAGCTTAAAGTCTGATGCATGGCCCGTGTCTTCTGGGCGAGTAGCTTTGCCCAATTCTGTTCCATTGTAGAAAATGCTCGAGCCCGTTTGAAACTCGGCAGCAATGATCTTCCATTTGTCCCAACACACTTGAGCTACCTTATATCCTGATGTGAAACCCCTTGGTAACTATATCTTAACAGGACCCTTGACCCACCCTTGATCCGAACATCGAACAAGCATCCACGAAACTGACTCAACCTCTCCCTTCTCGAAACCGACAAAGTTCGGCAGTCAAAACAAGTGTACGAGCGAGAGAATTACGCCCATGAGCCTCAGCAGAAATAGATCAGGGAGGCCCGCCTCCGTGATGTGAATCTTTTTCACTGCAAAATAGTCTCACGAGGAATTGGACCAGAGCATTATCTTTCAATATGCTGGGATGCTGTCAAGTGGTCTATTCCTCTTCAAGGCCCAGCAGACAGGCGGCGGTTTACCTCGCACTCTATTTCCGCAAAGTGTGAACGGAAAGACTTGGCCCTTGTCTTCGAAGCCGCCTGGGCCTACGGCACTCATGTAGAGGCCTGGGGAGGGTCCAAAAAGGACAGCGTAGGACATATATTGAGCAGCCCGGAGTCTGGTGGTCTTGGCTGCAGTGAGGCGGGCTTCAACAGCCAGGCTGGGGCAATCTCAAACTTGGGCGTGGTCCTTCTTGGCCCGCTTGTAGACGAGCCTGCGCTGAGCGCCAGAACCACTCTCTACATGAGCGTCGTCCAAGGGGATTTAATCCAAAGGGCGGCGAGTAGGTTATACTTCGAGGCCCCCTTCCCGCTATCGATTCAGTCGGTAACTACTCATTATCCAATGCCCAAGCCTGATAGAACATATCCTTCTCAGGTCATCATATCATTGACATCAATTCCGTGCCTCTTTTGTGTTAAGTTTGAGCTGTATTCATCTTACACCTTGTCCGCAGCTGATCAAGGCATGTACCGTCTATAGGCATTATATGTTTAATTCTTCTTCTGGCCATCATTCTCCTCCTCAGCCTCATCCTTCTCGTTTCCATCCTCCTGGAACCTAGTCTCCTGGGCTGCAACATTGTTAGCAAATGAATCTCTGAAAACCATTCCAACTTACCACTCCACAACTCGGCGTAAACGCCATCACGATCGATCAACTCCCGATGGGTGCCCATCTCCGCTACTTGTCCCTCCTTGAGGACAATGATGAGATCTGAATCAAAGATTGTTCGGAGACGATGAGCTACGAAAACACTTGTTCGACCCTTCTCTCTGAGGATACTGTTGATGTTCATCATGAGAGCCTGCTCGGTATGGGTATCAAGGGCACTTGTTGCCTCATCGAAGAAGAGCAGAGGAGGATCCTTAAGGAGGAGTCGACTAACAGCAAGACGCTGCTTCTCTCCGCCGGAGATCATGAGGCCGCGCTCACCAACCTTGGTGTCGTAACCGTCGGGGAATGACTGGATGGTGTTGTGGACGTGAGCGCGCTTGGCAACGGCAACAACCTCGTCGTGTGTCGCGTTTATGGAGCCATAGCGGATGTTGTGCTCAACGGTG